CGGAAGAGCACTACATACCAGATGTGGTCTCGAAGTTACTAAGTATGTTAATATAAAGATGTTATGCCAACTTATTTATCAAAGGATAAACAACTTTGAGATACATACGACATATATATATGTCTAAAGCTTCCATGGAATAGCAATATATATATATATATAGCAGCAAGCCGTGACCTGTTGGTAGACCAACTTCTTTTAAACTCGTAAGTCCCCTCAGGTCACGGATTCAAATCCACTTTCTCCACTTTCTGACCAATTTACCGTTAGTGAGGGCGGTCCTCGAATAATTAGACACATGAGGGTGGCTAGAGGCTTGCATAATAGTCTCTGGTCATTCTTATATACACGCTGAGCCGAGTATATCATTGTTCGAACTTGGTTTGGTACAATTATAAGTTGTTCATGTTCGACTTGAGCTTGTGTCGAACTTTCATACATTGCTCAAGCTTGATTTGTTTTATTTTTTTAATGTTTAAACTTGATTTGTTTATAACAAGAGAATGAGTATTTAAACAACCGAGTAAACAAGCCAAAAATTCAAATGAGAATTTAGATTTCATATAAAAAAATTAATAAATAATTTTGTACTTCTAATTTCAGTCATCAATTTGTTGATTATGAACTTTAAAATATTTAAACTTTACTAATTAGCTACATAATTCTTATTGATAGGGCTATACTAATTTAAATTTTGTAAGCAAAAAAATTAAATTGATCATAAAATTTAAGGGGATGAACATTTATTTAATCATATTAATAAGAAAATAAATAGCAATAAGGCAATCACCATTAATTTTATTGGTAATTGCAGTGTGATGACCATAAAAAATAAACTCATTACATTCAAGATTATGAAAAACCATACAAGAAAAATCTTTTAAGATACACTTTTTAACTATAAATATCACATTCAAAATTACCATTCACTTATTAATTAAATAATTATTTAATTAATAATTAAACTTAAAATATTATTTATGTAATAATATATTACAGCTAAAGCTATAATTAAATAAATTCTAACTAGTTAAATTATTTAAATTATATATATATA